TTTCAATGATCAAAATTTTAATCTTTAGGTTAAAACAGCTGAAATCCTAGTGGTAGCTATTGAAAAAGTTGAAAGATATACTAAACAGGTAAACAACTCTATTAAGAAATTAAATGAATTCATTAAAGAGATGGTTAATTCCTAACTTATATTTTTATATTTTATTTTTAAATAAGGGATTTGTAAACTTACCAATATGCATGGCCAAAACGCATTTATCTCTTTCACACGATCCAAAACTTAAAGGTGTGCCTACAGGATTTACAGTGCCAATACGAGACATTCGAGCATCAATTGGAGCAGGATTTTTATATTCATTGTTAGGGGAAATGCCAACTATACCCGGATTACCTACTGTGAGTAATTAATATATCGAAAAATTGTAGCTTTTTTTTTAAAACATTTATTGTAAATAATACTATTTTTTAATTTATAAAATTAATAGCGTCCGTGTTTCTTTGATATTGATTTGGATACAGAAACTGGAAGGATACATGGACTATTTTAAATATATTGGCTATATTGGTTATGATTATGCATCCCATAATTCATATTGAAGATTGATATTATATATTCAAGTTAGGGATACCGACAATACTCTGCTAAATTCGATAAAATATAAACTAGCTACATTATAGGTTTATACTGTTTATATTTTAACTAAATCGTAAAAAATTATCAAAATATAAACTAATAAACTATATATTTGCAATAAAATAAACAATAAAACTGTAAATTTAAGGATTTATTTAGTTATCTATAGGAATAATAGTATTAATTTTAAGTTAAATACTATATTTAATATAGTACGAAATCTTTTTTCCTTTGATGTATATATAGTTACGAGAAAATAAAATGGAATATTTTATGAAAATTGTACTTGTATACTCTGTGAATGTACACGGGTATAAATTAAACGGTTTATGATTAAAATTTTACAATATATATATATATTTAGAACTCCAAAAGCATTATTTTTTGACCCACCTGACCTATTTTTATTGACCAAAATAATAATAATAATAATTCATCGTGGGTATCATGAGTCATTCTTTTCAACAGTGCAAAAAGTTCCAGTGACAACCTCCAACAGCTAACATTTATTTCCAAAGGTTTGTGCCTTCTTCCAGAAATTAGTAATTCACTTTTACAAATACATTTTCGAATGCCACATTAAAATCTACGCGAATCTTTTTAAGGCAGGTCAATAAAAATGGGTCAAAAACAATGTTTTTGCAACTTTTTGTTTTAAAATAAACTTTAAAGTTAGAGTGCAGTTTTTAAAACTAATAGAATATTTATATATAATAGTTTAAATTTTAAATTATACAAGGTTTTTTGAATATTTTAAATAATTTTTTTGAAGAATTAAAGTAATAGAAATCCAATTTTTATAAAATTTCTGTTCTACCGTATTTGCGCGTAATAACGCGCAGGTGCGCGTTATTTTGAGACCCTGCGTGTCATTTCG